ATTACCTCATAGAATTTATGTAGAGCTCCATTAAACAGGAGTTCAAAGTCAAAAATCTCAACACTCACAAGTAAAGAAGCCACAAAACAAGAAAGCCAGCACAAAGGACAAGACTATCAAAATAGAAAATATGAGGCATAAAAGCAAATATGTCCAATCCATTTAAAGGAATCAGAGAGAAAAGTGACCATGTAATGTAAGTAAGGAAAACACCTATAAAGCGACTAAGTTGATTTGTTAGAGAAAGAACTTTTAGAAATTCTACAGAAATACTACTGGAGAAGGAAAACAGGGTCGAGGGACTGGTCCTTCCCAGATATTAAGAATTATAATAGAACTATAAAAATCAAACATTTGTTATTAATGCAGGAGTAATCAAATTGAAGAGTGGAGAACAGATATCCCCAAAAAAGAGCTACTTCTGTAAATGGGGGAATTGTAAATTGGTTATTTGTGGAAAAAAAATTTAATAGGATCTCTGCCTTAAATAAAAATAAAAATAAATTCTAAAAAAAAAAATTAGAGAGAGAGAAATACAACACTAAAGAAAAACATCAATAACAAGAGAAGAGTATAACAAAGAAAGGAACGGAGAGGAGCTATGAAAAAACAGCCAAAAAGCAATAAAATGGCAAAATAATAGTGGGTTACTCAACCTAGTGTTAACTGTGAACATGGGTTCTCTTTGTTCATGCAAGTATCTCTGAAGCCCTATTCTCTCTGGCCCTGGACCAGAACACAGAGGAGTAGAGAAAGGCGCTCCCTGTCCTCAGGCCAGATGCACTGCCTATGGGTCATCTTAGCCAATACACGCTGTTCAAAAAACAAGCTCTTACCTTCATTACAAGCAAGGTGGGCAAAAAAAGCGATCATCTGCACTGTTTTACCAAGCCCAGCTTCATCTGCCAATATGCCATTAAGGTTCTTCCGGTAGAGCTTGGCCAACCAGTCCAGGCCAATCTTCTGATAATCTCTCAGTGCCCCATACAAAAGTGATGGGGTGCCCAACTTCACCTGCAGTGACAGACAAACAAGTAAGCAGCTCTCTCCTTGTAACCATCACAACTGTACCTCCAAAACAGACACAGCCACGAAACGATTAGCCTACTGAACATCACGAATATGACCTACAGATAACAGGAAAAGAACACTGCTATTTGCTTTTCGTAACAATGTCTGCAGTTGGGACAAAGAGTGTATGTGGCAGCATGGAAGCCTTTCCAGCCTCACCAAGGCACCACCCCCATGCGGAAGCACAGCGCCTCACCGCAGGGCTGATCCGCGCACTGCCCTTGGGCAGGACAGCCTCAGCCACAGCGGTCACTTCTGCGATGTCCTTTGTGTGAGGTTTCCCGAGAGTCACTCTCTCTGCAGCTTTAAACTGGTCCATAATGAACAGCGAGTCAATGAGCACCACATCCTTCCCACTCTCCCAGTCACCTGGGCAGTCTTCTGACTCTGCAAGCGATGGACAAATGGGTTTTATGAGCCTACTTATCATTTAAAGAAAGGTGGCAGGTGGGGGGAGTTGACAGAATCCACATAGTTCAAGTACAGAATTAAGCAGTAGTTTTTTAATTCTAATCTGATTTATGTACCTGACAATGCCACCCAGATGAACACGTACAGACTTAGGAAACTCTCAAGCATGGGGCTACTCTGGAAAGCCCTCCAGGGAGAAGTGGAGAATGTCTCCGTAGCAAGTAGGAGCTAGTATCATCGATCGACTTACAGGCATCTGAGGGTTTAGTGACTACCCCTCCACCACCAAGACAGGAAGCAGTTCCAAGTATGGGCAAGCAGGGACCCAATCCTTCTACATCCTGTTGTAAACAGCACGGGTCCTGAACACCCCTAGCCTCACCTCCCCTCCCCTCCCCTCTCCCAGGCCATCTGTGTCTGATCATCAGAACAAGTGCAAAAAGAATAGGGGAAGTAGAGTCTTTGGTGGCCTGTGTGTCTGCTTGGAATGTCTAATAAAAGTAAAATAAACACCTTAAAATTGGTGTATTAAACAAATGTAGCACAGCCTGAATAAATATATAAATTTAGGTCCACAAAACAATAATTCATATAAATCTGGAGAAAAATATTTCTACATCATTCACAACTTGATGAAGTGCTCTGATAATGTGCCAAGTTCATAAATGAAAATAAAAAGCCTAAAATTCAGGGAAACTTCAATATAAAATTACATATTAAAAATATTTCCAACTTCTTCTTTCATCAGACTAGAAGAATGATGGTGATTCTTGAGCTCTGTCCCAAGCACCTTCTCTGGAGGCACATCCTGTTTTTGCCTTATGCTGAAATTTTCAAAGATGCCAAACAGACCTTCTTCCTCGCTTGTCTCCTCACTGGCAGGGTTAGGCTGGGGCCACTGGAAATTCGGCAGAAAGGCACCCTCATACAACTTCATCAGGTCAACTAAGGGCAATTCAGCTGGAAAGGATTGCAGAAGAAAGTGGTTATTTTACACCAACAGGGTGGGTGAGGGAGGAAAGCACACCTGGGAGGGTCAAGCGAAGGGAAAGGACCCTTACCACAGATGTGCCTTTTCCTGGCTTTAAATAATTCCTTGGACAAAGTATGTATTTTCTAAAAGCACATTTACATTTTCCAAAACTAATGGTTGCCCACTCCTGACACAAGGTCTAAGACATTTTCTTTATAAAGACAAGAATCTTCAAACTGAAATGAAAAAACTCTTTTACTCATAAAAGAAGATGTATTCTGAAATAATCTACTAAGTGTACAGGGAAATCCACAGCTAATAAACAAAAATATGAAAAATACTAATGGTGGAAAATAATTAGTAGATATGATACTCAAAAATACAAAATAACAAATAAAAGTTAAAAAAAAATATTTTTAAATTATGGTAAAAGACTGTTAATGTTTTGTATAAAAAGCTCACCCTAATTGATTAAAAACCCACCACAGTAAAGTGCCAGTTGTAACAGGCAAAGGGTGTGGGACTTTCTCACACACAAACCACACGGTACAGGTTCATGAGGGGCTCCTAACTGGGCATATCTCTGCAAGTCATATGGTGCACAATTGGGCCTCTACTGAAGTGGCAACCCTCCTCAAAGTCACAACGTTGGAGGAGTATAATGAACCAGGCTCTCAAGCACTGCAAGCAAAGGCATAAACCAATTTCATGTTTCTGGAAACCAGTATGGAAAGCTGAAGACTCTAAAATCTTGCACCCTCTGACCTCCTTATTTCTACTTCCATGTGTCTGTCCAGCGTAGTAAGCAGACACTCAGACCCAGACTCATGCTCAAGCAGTCCCACACAGTGCCACATACAAGCAGGAAAAGCATGTTAATGGAGTCGAATACTTGTGATATGTGGCTGCTCTGCATGTGTACTTTATGTCAGTAACGTGTGGTCAAAGTAACAAATGCTACGGGGAAGGACCCCAAATGAGCAATACTAAAGACCCCTCTCATTTAAGACTAAAAACAATCCAGTGATTTCATTTGTTTGTAATTTACATATTCATCATACCAAGAAAAATCAACTGTAGAGTCTAGGTGGTGGGTATACGGGTGTGTATAAGGTTCTTTCCACTTTTCTATAAATTTGAATGCTTTCATAACACAATGCTGGAAAATGTACATATACATCATATAATGGCTAAGTAGGAAAAAACAGGAGGAACAACTAAAAAACAACTGCAACAAAATAATTCATTAAGGTGTCTTAGAACAAAATACACAGAAATTAACAGCCTTCACACACATACCTAGTTAGGAAGTATAATGGAGAATACTCCATATAGTCAGAGAGTTAAACACCAAAACTGAATTTGTCAGAAAGCACGAACAGGTTCCTGGGCAATGTGAGAGGAGGCCTGACAGGGCACAGACTTGACTGGTAAGACTCAGTACACCTCCCAGCGACACCATCCCTGCCCACACGGGCCAGGGCTAACCTGGGGGACTTCCAGGTGGTGTGGCTTGCAAGGGTCAGCAGTGAGAACTGCCTCACTTGGGGATCACCTGCTCTGGGGAGGCCAGCCACCAGGTCACCATGTTATGAGGATGTGTCCCGTGTGAGGGACTGCCAACAGTCAGCAAGCCTGTGGTGGGGGCAGGGCAGAGGCCCAGCCTTCTGATGGCCTTGCCCTTGTGAGGCTTGAGCAGAGACACAGCCCACAGTGCCCAACTCCTGACCCCCAGGAACTGGTAAAGTGCTGAAGCACCAACTGAGCACAGAAGCTAACATGCCAAGGATGCATGTGGCCATGAGAAAGCCGGACTGAAAGCCTAAGTAAGAGAGGAGAGAAAATGAGCTCTGGGTTTGAACCAGGCAAGTACAACTAACGCCCACTGCACTCGGCCTTTCTGGGTTAAGTATTCCCTCTCCGATCAAGGACAAACCACAGGCACCCACCACAGCACCCCTAGTTCTATGCTTCACTCCAAGGAAAAGTTGTCACTCTTCACAGATGAAGCGAGTGTACACACAGAATCATGCCAGAGTTCAGCAGGGGCAGTGGATTTAAGATTAACACACAAAAATCAGCTGCACTTCTGTATACCAGCAACACTCTGAAAATACAGACCTAAAAAATACAGCATTTGCTACAACTTCAAAAACAGTAACAATGCCTAGAAATAAATCTAATAAAAAGCATGCGATCATAAAATGTGACTAGAAGCAGCTGAAGAGGACATCAGACTGGGAGAGGCTGACTTCATAAAGATGCAACTCTCCAACCACCACTAACTGAACTGAGCTGACTCTAAGGTATTTCTGAAATGGGCCCAAATAGTCATGACTCTCCTAAAAAGAGCTCAGTAGAATTTACCTAACCAGACCTCAGGGGTTACCACAAGCCCAGAGGGATGAGGTATTGGTGAGGAGGGCACAGTAAGGGACAAAGGCCCCAGAAAGAGCCCAGCTTGTCAGGACACAGGCTACTGCCCCTCACCTCACAGCACACGCAAAGCACTTCCAGACAACTGAAGACATCATCAGAGCCAAACAAAATTTTAGGTCATACAGAAGGACACCCTTATGAAGTTGAGGTAAGAAAGTCTTTTTAAACAAGAATAAAATCAATTACACTAAAACTATGAACAGCTGTTCAGGAAGAAGTGCCACCAGGAACTGGAGGAAGTTTCCGCAATAATACAATCAACCAAGACCCCAGGACACACGAAGAACACCTGCTGTCAATACAGAAAAGAAAACCTAAAACCAAAGGACACCAACAGCAGAGGAACTAGTGGAAAGATGCTGCACCTCATCAGCTATCAGAACAGCACAGCGCGAGCCACGAGACGCTGCCATTCCTCACCCACCAGACCTGAGGTCGGGAGCCAGGTACAAGCACTGGGACCCACCCACGGCCGGCCTCACACAGCTGCCACCCCACGGAGCCATGCCTGCCCAAGTACATGGGGAACATGGGTGGCCAGGACTGCGGGGAGCCCACCAGATGCCCACCCAGCACACAGTGAGCAATCTGCGACATGTCCACACGTGGACCACCACCTCGCAGTGAGACTTAGTGAATTCATAGCAAAATTCAACAATATGGATGGAACTCAGGGACAGAAGGGCTGAGCTGACTGAATAAAGCAAGTGCTGAGCCCATGGTGTGATCCTGAACACACGAAGTTTGGACACCTGAAGCCAGCAGCGTGTTCAGGAGTATGCAGGGAGGGGAGACCCAGCCTAGGGGTGACACCATGGTGGCCTCACCCAGGACATGGCCCCACAGCAGTGGAGTGCACCGTGGGGCCTAGGCCTGGCTCAGTCTGCTAGGGGTTCTCCTAGTAAGGTACGTGCAGCCTACCTTCTCGGGCCAAATTAGACAGCTCTGCCTGGTGGTCCACGGCCCCTTCATTGGCTTCCTCCTCCTCGATTGTCTCCTCCTCGTCATCCACTGAAACAGCCAAATGTCAATGAGACACCTGGCTGCCTCTTCTACTACTTAAGAAACAATTTAGCTACAAGAGAATCAAGACTCGCTTGTCTAGTTCCTCAGGTTCAATTTGGAAATGAAAGTTTACTGAGTGAGCAGGATACAGGCAGCAGGCTTTGTCTTACATCTTGTCTGAGGACTCAGCCTGGTTTTCAGGAACCCGTGGACCGCAGGCTGACCTGGAGTGGTAGGCATGGCACGCCTGCCTGCAGAGTTCTGCTGCAGGAAGACGCAGGGTGGAGGGCTGCCTGAGCTACAAGGGACCTGTCATTGCCTATTCCAGCAAGACCCACCTCTCAGCTTGACTCCTGTCCTGTGCACCTGCACTCACTCCCAGTAGAAGCCCAGCCCATGGCGGAGAAAAGCCCCTGGAGCCCGCAGCTGGCTCTGTGTCCCTGAGCACCCCTCCATCCTAGCGAGAGTCCTGCCCTGGGGTCTTGCAGGCAGAACAGCACCTTCTCTCCCACCAACCCCCATCCTCTCTCCCAGCAGCCAGCTCAACATTAGGCCTCTCCTAGCACACACAATCCTGCACTTCCCTCCCCCAAGCCAACTCCTCATTCCTCCTGCAAAACCCCCACCACCCCCCAAAGACACCATCACCAGCCCAGTGGACACTCTGGTCCAGGAGACACTCTAGCCCTGGCAGTGCTGAGTGGGCAGCACACCTTCAGACAGCCATGCAGATGGTGCAGGCCACCAGCAGGACCAACCTTCCTCATCAGGTAAATATGTGCTGGCTTTCCTTTTCCTTCCAGACATCCCCAGACCCTGAAACAGAATAAATTGCATACATGAGACCTTAAAGCACAAGACGGGAACTGAAGCAGAGAAGGGTATTCCATGTGCACCTAAGAGAGCAGTTGGGGGCCCATGACAGGCATGCAGCTCCATCCAGCCCATCAAGGAAAGAAGGGTGCTGGGCTCAGCTGCATCTTCCCAGGGTGCCAAGTTAACACCCCACAGAGCCTAAAACTAGAAAGAATCAGTCTTTCCTCAACATAGACTGATTCTACAATGAAAGGGAACATGCATAGTCTACAATTTTCTCCAAAAATGACTAATCCTGCTTCCCCAAGCCCCATGTCTCATTTGCACTATCTCCACTCTCTAACACAGTGCAGCAACAGTCCTCAACTTACCAGGAAATTTTCCGGTAATGCATCAAGTCCCTTGGGTCGAGACTCTTTTCCTAAAGAGACAGGGAACATGACTCATTTTCACTATAACTGTGGAGATGATATCCTCTATGCCTGTTGGGGCCACACCCTGGGGGCTCTTCTCCAAGAGGAAGGAACAGCAAAAATGAATTCCACCTTCTCCCTTCTGGTAACCGGGGCGACAACAGAACCCTTCCACCCACAAAGTGTGCTGGTGGCTCTGCAGAAACCCAGGCGTCTCCCATCCAGAGAGGGACAGAGGAGCTAAACAGCAGTTTCTTTTTCAGGATTTGTATAGATAATTTATGCACTGCAGAGACAGTGCACTGGCCAGGTACAGAGGGACCCCACAGGGCCAATGCCTCAGTGAGCTCACCTCACAGTTCAGGGACCAGCCTCATGGGCAGGCTCAGAGCCTCAATTCTGGGAGTGCCCCAAAACTGATCAACCTGGGGGTGCTGACTCATAATAGCAAATCTCAAGGACTGAAGTATACTGCTGGTACAGCCCCACATAGAGACACACGATGCTAAGCCAGCCAGACATCTGATCCACACATTGCTCATGGCCCTGTGAGCAGAAATTCGGAATAAAGTACAGTTCCAAAAGGGTCAAGCCTTTTGAGTGTCATACCTCTCCTGGAAACTCTCTGTAAGTGGAAGGCCTTTTTCCTTTTTTCTTCCAATTCTACTTGTAGTTTTATTTCCACAACCTAAATACAAGGAGGCAAATAAATCTGTTATTAAGGATGGAAAGAACATTAGTCCTGTATAAGAAAATACACACTCTAAAAGCAGTTATGCCAACCTTGCTTCAAATTGCTTCAAAAAGCAGCTTTCAGTTTGGTACCTTTCATTTCCTTTGTATCTAACTGCATCCTGCCCAAATTCTATCAGGCAGTGAAACGACGGGGTGTTTTTGAGAAGGCAGCAAGAGACAGAGCAGCCATCTGAAATGAGCTGCCTTAATGATCTAAGCTAACCCCACAAGGACTGCTTGGAGGGCAGCCATAACAGACAGGCAGGAAGAACCAGGTCATCCAGGGAGCCAGTGTCCAGCACGCGCAGAGTGGCTCTGGCCCCCATGTGCACCTGGCCTCAGGCCATGGCCAGCAGGCAGCCTGGCCAACCGACTCAGCCTGGATTTTCAGGACAGCAGGAAAATTCCAGAATTACCTGCTCAATATTTGACCAGAAGCACTCTATCTCTCGCGCTGTGGAAGCAGCGATCCGTCTCAGGCGGTCCTGTGCCTCCCTCTTCCCCCGCTCCTCACGAGCCTTCTTTTCCTCATGGTGACGCACTACAGTTCTCACGAGCTGGTAATGACAGTTCAACAACTTTGGGTTGTCTGTGTCGTGCCATAAGACAAAGTTTCTTAGAAATCGCCTCAGCCCGTAAGCGTGCACAGTCCACAGAGATGCAAGCATACCCGCTCAAGGGCACACTTGGGGCAACACCGGTGCCAGCGAGACCACAACCAGCATTCTGCTCCACTCTTCTAGAAGCTGTTATTCCACTAAGTGCACATATTTTTCTCCAAAAAGGAAAACCACACTGTGTTACAATCCTTTCCCTATTTAATATATGATTAACATCTTCCCACGAATAAACATAGATCAACATCACTTTTAATGGGCATTGTTTCCATTGCATGAATGAAGAAAAATTTATTTGATCCCCAGGTATGAAAAAGGTTGAGTTGGGATAAGTCACATTTTTTCAGGCTTTTGCATTAAACTGCCAAAATGCTTTCCAGAATTCATGCTCCTAACTTCAAAAGGTGCCACAGAGTACCTTTGAATGAACATGAGCCCAGAGCACAGCACAGCTGCTGGCCAGATTATAGGCGAGACACATGCCAAAGCCAGGCCGCCTCCCCCCACAGCACCCGTGGGACCTCACCTTGTTGGGTGCACACCCCTCACAGGAAGCCTCCTGCTCAGGCCTCTGCTCTGTCTCCCAGGTAGGAGGGCAGCGGCAGGCACAGCCATGGCTCAGTGGCCCCCAGCCCTGCTCCTTAGCACTCACCCAATTCCTCCGCCCCATGTCCATGCACTCAGGACCATCTTCTTTGTGAAAAGGAAGCACACAAGCAGCAATCTGGGTTTCTCCTCAAGTACTCAGGAATCTGACTCCCCCACTAATCCAGACCCCAATATCCTTTACACTTAGACCCCACCAATCTCCTGTGGTCTTGGCCTTTCTCTACTAAACCTGAGCAGGGAAAGCAACAGGGAGAGGTCTGGGTAGGAGGTAGACAGGGTGGGGGTACACACAGGGTTCACCTCAGCCCCAAGAGGGTAGGAAATAAGGAGGAAGCATGTGGGCCCAAGGAGCAAAGGTGGGTAGCAGTGAAAGGGAGAAGCAGGCCCAGAGCAGTTCACACACACAGGAGGGCAGCTGCCCCACATCCGGGCCTGGGAGTCTGGATGGCAGTCACTTCCCACCTTTCTGGCATTGGCAGGGGCACCTCCTAGAGGGGTCTTCCTAGGGCTGGGTGCCCGCTTTGGGACAAGCAAGGTGGACACAGATTCTCGGCCAGAGCTGGAGAGAAAGTGGGCCAGATGACAGGCAGAGCAGGTGGCAGGTAGCCTGGAGCCCCCTAGCCTCCCCAGGCCCAAGCCCAGCACCAGCCTGGATTGGGGCTGCAGGCATCCTCATTCTGGCTGCCAGGCAACGGGCAAGAACAGGAGCCTAAGAACACACCAAGCAGCAGCAGGGAAGACGTAGTGCCCAACCATGCCCACTGCAGATGACGATGCCCCTTGAAGGCACAGTTACTTCCCCAGAAAGACAGCCTGCACATGCACTGGGGTCAAAGAGCCTTTGGAGAGCTTGTCCAAGACACCGCCACTCACGGCACCACCCACTGCACACCAAGAGCCATGGCTGCCGCATCATTGCTAACCTACCTTCTTGGCAGCAGCCACCTTCCACCGTCTCTCCTGGGCAAAGTCGGTGGCCATCCACTGCATCTCCTCTAGCAGATAGTCCCAGTGAGATTTGGGGCGTGGGGCCTCCTGCAGCTTAGGGAGCCGTCTAAGGGACCACAGGCCTTCTTTCCGTAAATCTGCTATTCTCTGATGGATCTGGTTTTCCTACAAAGAGTATAGGGAGTGGGAGTTGTTCAGCAAGCAATTATTAAGTGACTTCCACTAATTCATGAGACCCTGTTACTAAAAAGATAAGACTGGACTGGACACAAAGGTCAGAGTGGCCCTAAAAAAGGTAAGAGGACAAGCAATCCTTTCTGAGCAGCCTTAGAAAAAGCCGAAGCAACAGTCCCACCCCATCTCAGAATCATGGCACAGAACTCACAAGCCACATGTACAGCAGAGTATTCACAAGGAAATAAAGCCTGCCTGAGGTTTGTTCCAAAACCATCGGAAAGGGGAGGAAGAGGACACAAACTGGCCAGCACAATCACTGCTGGAGCTGGGCATTGGGAGCCCTACACTGATCCCCTAATAAAGCTGAGCAAGGCAACCCCTCAGTACCCCCAGAGCACCAAGCACCAACTCAGTGCTGGGTTGTGCGCACCATCCTAGGAGCTCTGAGACCAGCGCTGATGGAGAGCCCCTTGGCCTGCACCCACAGCCTGCCACCTGACCTGCACCTACAGCCTGCATGGAAAAGACTTTCCACATGTACCTACTGCTGCAGGACAGGTCAAACCACGAGGCTTGAATCATGGTTTCTACTGATCACAGACCATGTTCAATTGTCCTCTCTACTGGGTTCGGTGTTAAGCTCTCTCATCCTTTGAAATTAAAACCCAAAGCACTTTACAAGTTGGGATTCACTGTATCATCATGAGCCCTAAAAAAATTTTCAGTGCACTTACCAGTGCTATTTGTTCGGCCAGCTTATCCTGAGAACTGTCTTGAGGCGGGGTAGCATTCTGAGCTGGGCTCTGCGGTTTTGGGGGAACTGACACAGCTGCCCCTGGAGACCGAGAGGTGACTGGAGACAGAGACTTGCTGGCTGCTGAGGAGGGTCTATTCACTGGGGAAGCCCGTGCAGGGGAGGGTCCCAGGCCCGAACTGCTCACAGGCATGATGGACGAGGTAGAGGAGGAAGGGGGCAGGGGCCGCTGACAGGGCTGAGCAGGGTCCACAGGAGGTCTCGATGCCACAGTCTAGCAGGTAGAAAACAGTCAAGCAAGTGAAGACCAGACTTAAGTGCACCTCACAGAGCCCAAATGCCAAAGACAGCACCACCAGGGACATGCACGCCCCAATACTTCCCTCCCCACAGCAACGGGAGCAAGTGAACCACATTTACAACCATGATAACACACTAAACCCTGTCTGCAAAATATAGTAGTATGTCCTCTAGAAATGAGAATCCAAACCACAATGAGCTATCACCTCCCACCAGTCAGAATGGCCACTATCCAAAAGACAAGAAATGGCAAGTGTTGGTGAAGATGTGGAGAAAAGGGAGCCCTCCTACACTGTTGTTGGGAATGTAAACTGGTGCAGCCGCTGTGGAAAACAGTATGGAGGGTCCAAAAAACTGAAAACAGAAATACCATGTGAACCAGTAATTCCACTTCTGGAAATTTACCCAAAGAAAACCAAATCACTGATTCAAGAAGATACATGCACCCCTATATTTAGCACATATGCAGCATTATATTCATCACAGCATTATTTACAATAGCCAAGATATGGAAGCAACCAAAGTGTCCATCTAGGTGAATGGATAAAGTTGTATATACATACATACATACAATGGAATGTTAGCTATAAAAAAGAATGAAATCCTGCCATTTGTGACTACATGGATGGTCCTAGAGGGCATTAACGCTAAGTGAAGAAAGCCAGAGAAAGACAAATACCATATGATTTCACTTATGTGTGTTATCTAAAAACAAAACACATTCGGGAACACAGACTGGTAGTTGTGACAGGGGAGGGTCTGGGGAATGGGAGAAAAAGGGGAAGGGGATAAAGAGGGACACACTTCAGTTATACGATAATTAATCACGGGGACCAAGGTCCAGTGTAGGGAATGGTCCACAATACTGCAGTATCTGTGGTGGAATGGTAACCACGCTTAGTGTGGTGAGCGTTCAGTAGTGCACCTGACTCTCAGGTCACTGTGCTGTGCTCTTGGAACCAATATACTGTGTGTCAGCTGTACTTCAAAAAGAAATAATAATAAAAGACCCTTTCATCCCACAAAATCAGGCTGAGAACCCACATGTTTTCACACAGTGTCTCATCCCATGTCATGTTTTCCCTTTTTTTTGCCATTTCAGCTCTGTCTCCTCTGCATAATAACTAAAATTTCTAGGTATGTAAGTTTTTAACAAAAAACAACAATGTTTGTCTTGTGCTTTCCTCTGCAGGCACCCCCACACGGGCAGGCTGAAGGTGAAACACCCTGCTCTGTCACCCCAAGATCACATCTAGACAAGCAGAAGACCAGCAAGGCCAGAGAGTCCCACCCACCTTCACAAAAGACAAGCTAAACCCATGTAGGAATCCTGTCAGGAGGCAGGGGGTTATCAGAGAGCAGGGAAAGCGAGGTACTGCAACACCATAAGAGGCCTGAGGACACACATGTAACCTGGGAAGTGGACAAGGCACCCTCTTTATATCCAAGGAAATGTCTTTCAAGGCAAGTAGCTCTGAATCTGTATCTAAAGTAATTTCCTGCTACCTCAGGTCAGTCAACTACAGCTGGCCACACGCTTCTGGACAGAAAGCTCTGATGGGCCACTCGATGGCACGCTCTGGGGCTGCCTCTGTCCCCACGAGAAAAGCTGAGTGATTTGACAGCAACCACATTGCCTGCAGCGCCTAGAGCCCTGCTGTGGCCCTTCACAGAGTAAGTGTGCCAGCCCTGACCCCACCTGGAAGTACAGGTTAGTGAGTTGGTAACAAGCTTCTTAGAAAGGGTCCTTGTCAGCAATCAGGGCAGGCGGACAGAGCCAAGGAAAAGCCCTGTGCTGCTAGCAGAGCTCAGCTGTCCCGGCAGGAGGGCCTCCTCCTCAGGGTGGGTGTGCAAAAGGCTCTGGAACCAGCAAGGGTGCAAACACAGCCATGATCTTGCCAAGTTATTAGCCCCTTTGGCCTCAGTCCTCTCATGGGTGAAATGGAGAGTAGAAACCCTGCCTCACTGGGCTGGGGGCAGAGGAAATAAAGTTACAGCACCTGGCCTGCAGGAGTGGAGCATGCAAGGCAGCTATAATTGGGCATTGCTATCTCATCCTTAGGTAAGAACAAACTCTACCACGAAGCAAGTAACTAGGAAGAACCTGGACAGCAAGCGCCCGAAGAAATCGGTTGGTGGGTGAGGGGGACAGTGACAGGAAGCAGCTCGCTCATACCCTGCTACAGGAGCTTGCTGAAAGCACCTCCTGCAACCCCTTTAGGGCCCAAGTAGGCCCCAGCACGTACTCCAGGGACCTCCTTATTAGGACGGCAAGCAGTTTGCTGTAATCATTTCAAAAAGGCATCTGGGTAAGTGAATTCATGGAGAAGGTGGGGCATTATGAATACCTGAGTGTGTATCAAGCCAGGTAAGGAATGCCTCGTGCATGTTTGGCAGAGTATAGACTATCCAGACGGGGCAAGGTGCCCTTGGAGGTGGAGGGAGCCTGGGAACAGTTAGGAGCTGGGCCAGCCCCCGCTGGCAGGCTGGCTCCACAGGCCTAGAGAAGGCCTGCCATCCCCAAACCTCCAATCCCATGCTGTTAAGTTGGGCTCTGCCACCTGCCCATACTATTTGGCATATTGAGTGGGACAGGAACACAACATCCTTCACTCAGCTCCCTGTCCTGAGGGCAGCAATAAAAATTATGCAGTTCTCTGGTATTTTAATAATAATAACTATGATTACTGAGCCAAAACAATTACAACTACTGAATTACCAACTGCTGCAAAGCAGAGGAGAAACCACTCAGAGAAAGCGTGCCTGCAGTGTACACCCCACCCCACCAGTGCACCTCTCCAGGCCCCACCAACAGACCGGGGCACAGAGTACCTGTGGCTGGGGCGCCAGCAGAGAGGCCTGCCCCTGTGTCCTCCCAGGCATCAGCGCGTGGGGGGCTGGCTGGGCGGGCTGCAGAGAAGTGGGAGCTCGGCTGGGCGGTGGCGTGTGCACTGGGGCATCTGGCTGTTGGGTCTTCACGGGCATGTGGAGTGGCACCTGCGGCTCCACCACCTGTGGCTGAGGGAACTGCGGGGCCGGTGGCAGAGACACGGCAGAGAGGCCTGAGGAGGGCAGTCTGCCCGGGAGCTGCGGGGGCGGCGTGTGCAGGCTGGCAGCGTTCTGCACCGGGGGCCCCGTGGACGGATCATACTGCTGCTGGCTTTGCTTCTGTCCCGCCAGCTGGGCGGCCTGCGGGGCAGGGGGCATCCCTCCTGCAAGACAGGAACCCAGGGTGCCTTCAGAGTCGGAAGCTCTCACCAAGGACCAGAGCTCCCACTTGGCACTCTCACAGAACTGCCATTCAGAGCTGTTACAGCACAAATGGGAGATTTAACTGGCAGAGGATGCATGTTATACTGGCTCTCACGTTACAAATGAGCACAGAAAAAGCAAAGAAAGGGCTTGGCCTTTGCATGTTAGCACCAAGCAGGAAAGCTATCAAGTAACTACAGGGTGTCCCTACACGGCAGCAAGTAAGGAGACACAGGCATGAGCACCAGAAGCTCCAGGACAGCACAACATGCATCTCCACTGCAGAGACAAGAACTCATCTCCTGGGGTTTCTTCTCAGTGTACTACTGAGACTCAGAAAAACATCCCAATTTCAGAAACCACTTCAAATCTACTACCTTGGCTACACACCATTTTAGTCTGACACTGGTCGTTAAGACCCTCATGCACTGGCTTGTTCTGAGCTGAAAGAGCTCGTTCTGGTGCAGGGTCTTACCTTGAGCAGTTGGCATTAGCTGCTGAAGAGGGACTCCCACACTCGCCCCTGGGTGCTGGAAAACTACGCCTTGGTGACCTACTTCAAGTCGAGGTCTCTTAGACTGCTCTAGAATAATTTTCAGAAAAGGTGAAGTTTGATGTAAAAATAAAGCCGCAAAAGTAATAGAAAAAAATGTGTAATACATATTTTTATACTCTTTGAACAGAGAGGTCATTCTACACATAAACCAAAGTCCAGACAGCATAAAAGGTAAGGTTGATAAATAAAATTTATTTTAGTTAAAAATTTGCAAATGTAAGAAAAAGCATCATAAAAGGCAAAGGGTAAGCCACAACCTAAGAGACAATATTTGCGACACTCAAGGCACAGAAGGCTGGCTTACTCCACATTCAGAGAGCTGACACAGTAACATGAGCAGTGCCAGCAGCCAGACACACAACGTGGGCGGGAGTGTTTTTGGGCTCACAAATGGCTAAAAAGCAGGAGAGAACCTGTGCAACCTCACCATACTGAAGAAAACCACACCCAAAGACCTAAAAGTCCCCGACCACAGGGGCAAAGATGGAAAGATTGAACACACTTAGTGAGATGGCCAAAAGGTAAGAGAACCAGGAACTGCCAATGCCTATCGTTCTGAAGAATAGCACCACCAGTACTCAACTGTGCACACTTTGATCTAGCAATTTCGTTTCTAGTTTTTCCTTCAGACGTATTGACAAATGTAGAAAACAATACAAGACCAGACATTCAATCCTTTGTTAAGAACAAAGAAAAGGTGATGATACCAACAAACATTAACAAGGTCCTGACGAATAAAGGACCAGCCACTGTACAATGCAATAACACACAGCCACCACCAAGGAGGAGCTCTGGACTAAGAGTCAGTATCAGAGACATGGCAGTGTACATAGCCCAAAACCAGTTCTTCTGGAATCTCATACACAGAACGACACCCATATGTGCACAGAGTGTGGACATAACTAATGGCAGCTACTTCTGCAGTAGGGAGCAGAGAGAGTATCAAACCAGAGGTAGCCCTAAATTATACCCTTCAGAACAATCTGAATCTTTCATATAAAATGTGTATTAAGTTTATAATTTCAAAGAAAAATTTGGTTTGAGAAAATGAATAACATGAAGAAGCAGATGGCCTCAACTTTCACCATCAGGCACCCAGAAAACCCAGCCTACTCAACGGCAGTAATACAAACACTCATGTAAATATTCCTGCAGCCAACAGTCTGCAAAAGCTAACTTTCAAAGTAGAAAGAAACTAAGCACCACTGAGCTCCTTCATGCTCACGTGTAGAGACGTGGCCACTATGCTGTGGAAGAAGGCAGCTAATGGGCCCTGGACCCCGAGGCTTGCTCGGTAACATACCTGCCTGGGGTCCCGCCTGCTGCCGCTTAAAAGGGTCCGTCTCTATCGCACTTCCAGCCGCTGCCACCAGGGTCCCTGCAAGAGCTTGCTGCTGAAAAAGAAAGGGAAAAAATGAGATTTGATAATTTCAGTTCACTGCGAGAATGAAAATAAACTACAACTATCATAACTGTTCCAAACACTGAACTCATTTCTTTTTAATAAGAGAAATACTATCTATCCAATATATTTAAATACACATATATAATGTTCTAACTTACCTCTGAAGTAAAAAAAAGGACTTGTAAAAGATACATTACTCTGGTTTTAAGCAGAACTTCAGATCAGTGTATAGCTACAGTCCTTCAAAAGTAAACTGGCCTTGCACATGATGACAGTAAAGCACTAATGTTGGAAATGGTAGCCATCAATCTCAGACTCAGCTTGAGCCCCCCTGACCAGCCACATTACCTGCGATCACTTAACTCCCAAAACACAAAAGCTGAATAATAAAAAGAAAGATTCAAGTTGTCTTCCTAATGGAAAATGATTCTTAAAGCCCCAATGAATAAGAATCTAATTGACTTGGATTTTCATATTTTTACGATTAGCACTCTACTTGGTATATACTATGCAAAACACATATAGGTTATTTAAACTGTTCAAAGGAAAAGCTAATGGCACAGACAAAAACTGGCAGCATCAAGGCCCTTCCACCTTTCACATCACTTGCTTGCAGTGACAGTAGGAATACTGAGTGAGGATTTGCTTAACCATCAGTAGTTAAGAATCATTTAAATGATCCAATTATATCCACTCTACTTCACAAGGTATTTTAAATGCAAAAGTTCCAGATGCCTACACAAAGTAGCTGCTCTGTGGGGAGCTGCTGACCCCTGCAGCCTGAGGAATGGACACAGGTCCGAGGACTGGCCATGCTGCAGGTCACTGCCCACACTCCACTGACATTTAATGAGGAAGGGAGAAAAGAAAAGGATGATTTGAACAGCATACAGTATGTGAAGTGATTATCACTGGGTATAGGGTAACAGGTGATTTACAATTTGTGTGTGTGTGTATGCACTTTTCTAAATTTTCCAGATGTTCTACAATGAACAAGTATTACATAATCAAAAGAATTTTTTTTTAATAAAAGAAATTGATAAAAGGTTCTGCATCCAGTAATGGTCAAGTACTTCCTGTTGGACCAAACATACTCTAGATAAACAAATGTTAGATGAAATACTAAAAATATCAAAAGGTAGGCAGATAAAAGGTATGCAGGATGAGACTCAGTACTTGCAAGAAGGGAATGGAACTAGGAGAGAGTTCTAGTTTCCAGCATTTGGCATGCAAGCAGGCCCCAGTCTGTGCTACATGGACCAGCTCAGACCCAGAAATACACAGAGCCTTACTGGCTTGAAGACCACCAGGGAGAGCAGGAAACCACACGGAGGTAAGTAACAGGGAATTGTCACAGGAGACAGCTGGAAACAGGAGTTCTCACCCTGATCTCCAGCTGCCTCCTAAACCACTCATACACAAAGACTCCAAGCACAGGCCAACATAACCACACTGAGATTTCAGGTGTGGTAAACCAGGAGACAGAGTTTACAGTTTCAATCCAATTACATAAACTAACTGTGAAAGCATCAATACTCTTCAGAGGAATATAACAAAACTCAGTCTTTACAACCTATCATTCACAACACCTAAAACCCAATTCAAAATTATTCCAAACACAAAGAAACAAGAAAACAGGAGCCATACTCAGAAAACAATCAATGGACGCCAACCCACGCATGACCCACGTACTGGAATTAGCAACAAGGATTTTATAGTGACTTCAACAAATATACTCAAGGACATAAAGAAAACAGGTTGTAATGAAGGATGAAAGGAAATCCTAGCAGAAAAAAAGAAACTATTAAAAAAGAGAACCAAATGAAGATTCTAAAACTGAACAACAAAATATCTGAAATAAAAAAATTAATTGGCTAGGCTGAACATCAGAGAGGGATGCAGAAATCAGTGCACTGAAACAGACTCCTGAGAAAACGGAGATGGACATCAGGACAGAGTGGGACTGTGTAAAGATGGACAGGCAGAGACAACTATGCAGAGCCCAGGGGGCCCCACAGTCATAGTCATGTCATCCCCTAAAGGTCCAATGTAGCACCAGGAAATTAATGGTCTTTTCAAGAAAACGGTGCTAGAAGACTGGATGCCCACATGAAACATTGATAAACGAAGATCATCAAGGGGTGAATGTCCTCCTGCTCAACCTCTGTTTCTAAGTTACTGATCACCCCTGACTTGGCTTTCAGAATGACTGCTTATACGTCTTCATGAGTATTTTATTGAGGAAGATACTGCTGTCTTTAAAATACAAAGATGATTTTAATCAACAAGGATTTATCAGAACTCTTTTTAAACAAACAGAGAAAAGGGATATTTTTGATGGCAATTGAATTCTGGGTGTCCATTTTAAGAGAAACAAAGACAAAACAGACTATCTATGGGAGGCAATATAATTTACAGGGAGTCTAGAAACTACACCAAGAAAAAGAACAGCTGCAGGCACAAGGGGTGTAGCTTGCAGCAAAGATGATGCATAACATGTGACACCTGGAAGAAGAACAGACATGTGATTCCAGAGAAAGAAATTAAGACCCATGGTTGTAGTTGGTGGTTCCTAGGAAGTAAACTGCTGCCCAACTGAAACAAACACACTGTAAATAACTGGACTTGTGTCATCTATAAGGCTGGGCAATCATTGGAAAGACAAAGGGGACAGAAAGAGGTAGTGGCCTGAGGACCTTCAAAGGACACCCTGTCCAAGTGGAGAGGGCTCTGGTCTCTCACTTTCAGATTCCAAAGAAGTCTCCCTAAGCTCCACCTTGGGCAACAACCACTGGAGGCAAGCACAGACATAGAAAAGCCTCTCAAGCTTTCTCTCTGAACACATGTCTGTTTAAGCTCACAAATTTTCAACTATACCCAGAACAGGGACACATGCAAGGATTAAAAAACAACAGTTGGGGTAGGTTACAGAACTACAATTATTCATTTTCTGTAACATTATAATCTCAGAAAAATAATCTCCAACTAAGGTGGTTTTTTGCCATCTAAGTAACTAATGAAATGGTGTTGTTCTGTATACAACTGAATAATGGCTCCAGAGTACAGCCTCAAAGCCCTTGGTAAGTAGACCAAATAATGCATGCACACCAAGAATCTGGACTTTAATCACCAATAGACTAGTTTATTCTGAAACCCTGTAAATGCTTGCAAAAAGTGAAATTCATCCTAAGAGTAAGTCTTACAAACTTTTCAGAATGCTTAGCAGTGCTAGCAAGGCTATATACTAAAACTGGAGCCACAGAAAACACTAGCAGCACTTTTAGCTAAAAACAAATGACAGTATATGGCGAGCACTATAAAGACACTTAGGCTTGCTTGATTCACTAATGTTGCTGAAAATTATTCTAAATAGAATGTAACCTAAAATTAGAAAAAGGGTTTCATGAATTACACCTCCTCAAAATGATGAGGTATCAGGAACTATTAAAATGAGAATTATTAAAGTGAAACAAACATAAGGCATACTTATTTATTAAACAAAATTTTTATAAAAAGTATAAATACACTGTGTCAGCTAGTATATACACAATCTAAGGAATGGCGTACACATGACATAAAATATACGTATGTGTGTATGAGGATGATGGAATCATGGATAATTATTCATTTTCTCTAATAGGAACATCACTAAAAGATACTCTCTCCTTAGAATGTTTCTTTTTATAAATAAATGTGTATGTCTATATTAAATATTATTGTTTATACAACACCTCTGCATGCAATATTACTACCTCAGAACCTTCTGGAAGAAGACAGGAAGTAATACATATGTAATACATAAAATTCTGAATTTTTCTCTAGAACTTCATTAGCCAGTATAAAAATTCTACAACTTGTAAATAATAAAACTCATACTGAGATTTCTTTTCCCCAAAGAAAACAAAAAGTATGTTTTACACTTCACTCTTTTTTAACAGACTCTCTATTTTCCTATTTCCTTTGGACGTCCGTTAGCATTTGCCTCAAAGATCTGTAATTCAAACTGGAGACTCCTTGGTTTTCCGTTTTTAGTCTCTTAAACTTTTTTTTAGTGAAATATATCATATATACAAAAGAAATTATAAAACATATGTATGTGATTCTAAAAACATAGTAAAATTAATCTTGAATTTCAACAGTGGGATATGGGTGTTCATGGAACATTCATTCAGCTTTTCTCTGAAATTTGTCATAATAAAGTGTTGAGAAGGAAAGTGGAAAAAGTTACACATACACAGTTTAAAAGAGTAATTATAAAGAGTCATCACGCACTCACTGGTCACAAGGCTTAAGCAGTAAGTTGTCACTCGTGCCTTGGGGACCCCATGCAGGCATCTCCTCCCCAACTAAGGCACAGGCAACCTATACAGTATGAGAACCTGCACAGGGGTAACAACTGTAGATTTAGCTCCACATGGTATTTGGTTTGGCTTTATTCCCAGTAAGCGCTACCTGAAGGGACTTGCACCTCCTACCTCCTGTGACCACTTTTGCCCCACTCCTGCAGATGCAGGTGTGACTGCAGTTTGCTCATCTGCACTTCCAGTCCCTCACTGGCATCCTCTGTACAAATTTACACCACCCACTGATTTGCCCTACTTCTGGTGGACGCTTCAGTTCTTTCCAGCTTGGGGCCACTATGCATAATGCCACTAAGAACTCTGCTGTGCATGCTTTCTGGCACACAAATACAAGGTCGTCCTTACAGCATGCTTGCTGGGTAAAGGGTCTACCCAGGATCACCTTTTCCAAGTCAGGCAGTGTCTCCAAATGTTCCCACAAAACACTCCCATTTGAAGCAATGAGAATCCCACTAATCCACATCAACAGACTGTCCAGTTTAACTTCTGGCAATCAGGTGAGTGTGACAGTAAATTAGAGTGGCAGGACTTGCATCATGGTGGAGATTGCACATCTTTTTCCTGTTTACAGGCACTCCTTGCCTTCCACTGTCCCACTGTTCTTATGCAAATAATTATCAATGTGGTCTACAAATGCATTAGTGTGTTCCATTCCTCTAAGCATTAACAGGAAGGATGCCCCACTAATAAATTTTCTGACAATCTCTAATTTAAGAAATCCTGTCTTCAACTGTATCAAACTCATTACAAGAAGAACCTAAATAAAAGATTCAAATTTATTCCCTACCAAAAGGAACCAGCTCCTTGGAGAAATGACTGATCCCTGAACTGGACCAAGGACTATGAAGGTGAACCCTGAACATTTTGTGCCAGAAAGTAAGCTTTGTTTCAACAGTAGACTAGAGCCAGTGTAAAGGCGCTCCAGTTGGTTAAATATGGTAATTTAGGCAACAAAATAAACAGTAACAGTACAGGAAGGGTGTTGCAGATGGCCGCTGGTGGAGTAAGGACAGCTGATGCAGGTGCACATCTTGGCAAGGGTGGTGGTACCTGGCACCTGTCAAATCAGCAGACCACAACACCTAAGATCTGAGTATTCCCTGCTTATAAGTTATACCTCCACTATGACATAATTCACCATTTTTACAGACCAAAGAAGAAAAATCACATGACATGTGAATAGAAGCAGAAATAGCATTTGACTAAATTCAGCATCTGTTCATGATAGATATTAGGAATAAAGGCATTTCCTTAACCTGATAAATGACCTCACAAAACCTGTATCATACCTAATGCTTTCCCCCAATATCAGGATGGAGTAAGGATGCCTGTTCTCACTGACTCATTCAGCATCCCACTGGAAGTCCTTGTCAGTGCAATAAGGCAAGAAAAATCAATAAAAGGTATACAGACAGAAAAAACAAATCTTGCTTTCTTTGCAGACATGATTTTGCATATAGAAAATCCCATGGAATCAAAAGGACTCCTAAAACTAATAAATGAGTTTAGCAAGGCTGTTAAATATAAGTTCAAATAATCAATTGTAAAAAAAAGAAAAAAAATTTGTAAATGAACCAAAAAAAAAAATAATCGATTGTATTCCTACATACTTGCAAGGAACTAAAAAAAAAAAATTTCAAGTACCTTTTACAATACCATAGGAAACTGAATACTTGTGTATAAACCTAACAGCATGTATACAGAATCAGCATGCTGAAAACTTCAGGACACTAATGAAAGAAACAAAGAGGAGCAAAATAAATAGTGACACACAGCATGTTTCTGAGCTACAAAAGTCAGTATTGTCAAAATGCAACTTCTCCCCAAACTGGTCAACAGATTCAGTGAAATCCCAATCATCAAATTACAACCACTGTACACATATCAGAAAGACTACATGAGAAAAGTAAGGACAAGTGTGGGGTGTGGGGGGATGCAAAACAGAAAGAACAACCCTTACTGTAGTGGGAATGCCAGGTGGCATGGCCACTGGAGAAAGTTTGGCAGTTTCTTACAAAACTGAACACACACTAAACAACCCAGCAATCTGCCTCCTAGACATTTCCCCAAATGAAATGAAAGCCTGTGTTCACAAAAAGGCTGTACATGAACATTCAGAGGAGCTTCATTCATAAATGCCAAAAACTATAGAAATAACCCAAATGTTCTTCAAAGATGAATGGAAAAACAAACTAGGGAAATTCACACAATGGAATACCACTCAGCAAAAAAAGAAACAAACTATTGGTAAATGCAACAAGAGTGATGAATTCCACATGCAGTGAAAGAAACCAGATAGGAAAGGCAGGATACTGTAAAAGGTGACATCACAGTAGTGAGGACAAGGCAGGTAGGGGGCAACAGGACTCCTCTGTTCCCTGACCATGGAGCTTTAAGTGTCTGTCAACACTCAGAACTGGAGACCCAATAGAGTGAATTTCACTGAATTAAGTAGATTTAAATAAACAAATAATACTGTTAATAACACATTATTAAAATAAGAATCCATGTATAAATATATGAACAGAAGAAAAAAGAAAGCTCATTGTTACAGCAGAATGTCAACTCATAAATGGCGAAGGAATAATGACATTAGACAATCCACTTTGTAGTCTTTTAGGTAGTAAATGATTCTGGCAAGATTCATCAATGAATACTAGAATTAGTGGTTCAAAGTTTAATAAGATATTTACGGAGTCTCAAAGTATCTTCCCCTAATTGCTCAACATTTACCAAGAGTTAAGAACTTCCACTGGAAAAGCCTGGTAATGCCATCCTCCTCACCATGGTCACAGTGGACCATCCTGGCCACCTGACATGGCACACATGGACACAGCATCATTCTGTGTGTGTTCCTCTCAAAAAGCCATTACCCAAATCAGACACCAGGCAACATCAGACAGTCCCATACCACAGGACATTCTGCAAAACAACTGGCGTGTATGCCTCAAAAATGTAAAGGTCATCAAAGACTGAGGAGCAACCCAGCTTAAAGACCAAAGAGGTATTAAAGACCACCAACGAAACAGTGGGTGACCCCAAATGGCGATCACTGGGACACAGACACAGGTACCCAAGAGCTGTGGCTAGTCCTGGTGCTCTCTGTCTGCAGACCTTCTTGATTCGACTCTGCTGTGGTCAGGCAAGACAATACTCTTACCTAATGCCTCCTGGCACCCTCAGATATAATAGCATATGACATGATGTCTACACCCTCTCTCTAATAGCTCAGAGGAAAACGTGTGTGTGCACAGACAGAAACAGAGAACGAGAATAATATAAGTGGCCCAAAGCCAACAACTGGTGCATGTGGGTACAGCATGTAAGAGGAGGTCTTTAAACCATTATTTCAACTTTTATATATGCTTAAAATCAAATCAAAACTAAAAATAAAAAAATGTTTAAAACATCACCACAAAGATTAAACTGATTCCTGAACCAAGCAAAATCTCTTCCCAAACTACTAGAATCTGACCTGTACTTTTAGGTTCTTGGCATTATTAATGTAACATTGAGTGATTTAATTTTCAGAAAATCATTAAAAATTTAAAATATTTTAAATATTTTACATTCAGTTAACATCCTACAATCCAGATGCTTTCAGAGGTGTTTCACTTCAGTGTTTCTTCCAGCTACAGAAAACATCAAGTTATCATCGGCTTCAATCTTTTTTTTTTTAATTTTTCTTTTTTGCACATTCTCAAAAATACAGATAGAAGACACAGGGAAGAGCAACATTTAAAACACAGCACACAAGGAATCCTGAGCACACATTCAACAGGACTGTAATAAGTATTAGATGACAAGCATGCGAAAGCTACTACTGCATTACAGGTCAACACAAAAAAAGAATGCATTAAGATCTGTGTTGTCATTTAATCATGCAATTTAATTTTATAATTGTATATGCAGGAAGACTTTCTTATTTTTTAAAATAAGGAATGGGCTCTGGAAAAAAATGCTGAAGAGCAAATAGTAAATTGAAGGTTAAAATATCTGGATGAAGGAAAAGTTTGGGATGAGACTACATTTTAGAACCATCGAAAAGTACCTGAAATGGTTGCTGCTGGGATGAAAAAGCAGCAGAAACATTTGGAGGAAGCTGGGTTGCTATAGCAACAGGAGTACCAGTCTGCCCATCCTTTCCTGTCACAACCTTTACCTGAGAGGAGATATTTTGAGAAAAAAAGGCAACATAATTTTTAAGACTGCTCAAAATGTTGTTAGAATGTTATTGCTGATAGCTCACTGATGTTTGGGGTTTAAAAAAGAAGTATTTTTGCATCAAATCCTATGAAAAGACACTGCACTGATTTATGACAGATTTATAACATAACAACTTGACTCAGCTGCAAATCTTGCAGGAACTCCAATTTCAGTCACAAGTGCAGTATTTTTAGATTTTGTATAACTTTTAATTTAAAAAAATGGAAATGGCAGACAGTCTTCAAATTAACAAAGCCCTAACCTCATAGGCAGTTTGCACAGAGCCTCTCCATTCCCTACTACATGTGGGTCAGAATTACAAAGGTCTATCTCAGCAGGAAGTTATAAAAAGGGACTTATTTTCCTTCCTAAGCACAGATAAGGGGGACTGAGCCTACAGACATCATTGATATACAAACATAAAGAGAACTGAATTTCACTATTTCATGGCAATAGAGGTGAAATCCTCAAAATAATCATAAAAACCTTTTGGAAAATAAAAATGGTTCATCCTCAAAAGGGTGTTACGGAAAACACAGAATGGCAAAGCCACACAGATACATCCATAATTATCAATGAGGGCAGCTGAGCAAAGAGACCAGCTTTTGTTTGCCAAAGGCTGATTTCTTTGCAGGAGAAGAGCTGACAAAGAGTCAAGTTATTTCAGCTACATCATCAAACAAAATAAGCTCCACCAACATAGTGTGCACCACACAACACACGGCACAGAGCACAGTGCGGGACGGCGCTCCTCACTCACGCCCACCGCTTTGATGAGCTGCTGTTTTAGGAAGTACAAATTAAAGGACTTTAGGAACTGCTATGGTGTTAAGAGATCTCAACTGGGTGATTTATTAAGTAACCAGCCCAGGAACCCCTAAGTCCTACTACCTAAAAAAGATTCTCCCTTAAATATCATTCAACAGATACTTACAAAAGTGTGAATTTAAAATATGACTTCAAATCTAAGACTACATCTAAATTATGAGAAAATTCTAATATTTTGCCATAATAACTGTACTTTAATCATAAAGATGCCATACAATTGTACCTTCTGATTAATAATTATGACAAATATGCTATAAAAAGCTAGTGATTCAAATCTGTTGCTTAAAAACCACGTTCATCGTTTTTTTAACAGGTGGACCTCTGTAAGTAAAATGTGAACCTGAAGCCCAGCCAGAAAGTATCCCTTTTGACCTCAGTGCTAGCTGACCCCCACAACCAGCAGTGGCAGGAGCCAGGTCAGGCCACACCAAAGGCCTCCAAACCTGGCCAACCCTGTTCTGAAAAGAGCACTTGGTTCTGAATTACCATCATCCACTGTGCCATTCTGCACCTTCTGCCCAATGGCTCAGACAGCCTTCCCTTCCATGGAGGGAAGGAAAAATCACCTCTGGTTTACTCCTGGATCAAGTCCTTGTGAAACCACAGCTTAAAACCCCCAGCCTCAAAGGTTAAATTTACAGCCGTCTGCGCTCAAATCTGGCAGCGCCCACGGCCCAGCTACCACCCTGCCGTGCCTCACCTCGTCGTTGATGACCTCAGACTTCTCTTCCTCCTCCTCCTCCTCCTCCTCCTCCTCCTCTTCCTCCAGATCCAAATCATTCTGCCTGAGATAAGCTTGCAACGGGGCATAATGCTTCTTCTTGAATGCTAAGAAGTCCATCATGTTCCCTTGGAGGTGTTGCAAGAAGAAGAGTTCGATCAGGCACTCCCTGAAGGCCTCCCTCAGCAACCCCATCTCCCGGTAGTGGTAGTCCAGGCACTGCTTCCGCATCTGGGCCAACTCCTGGGAGGCCGGGGGGATCTCCTCCAGCTTCTTGGGAGCCTTTCTCACCCCCATGCTGCCCGCAGATGTGAGAGGAAGGCCAGAGAGGCCAGGGGGCACTGTGGTCCTGGAAGGGCTGGTGGGTGGGGGTGGGGATGCCATCCCGAACGCCGAAGCCCCCCCAACCCCAACCCCCACCCCAGACAGCAGAGGTCTGCTCAGTGGTGGCCCCTGCAGTGCCTGCTGCTGGACCAGCTGCCCCTGGATGATGCTGCTGATCTGGGGTGGCAAGCTTGCTGTGGTGATGTGGCTGGGGCTAGCCAAGGGCTGCAGGCCTGCTCCGCCTGCAGCCGCAGGGCTCTGAGGTCCCAGGTGGTGGACAGTACCCCCAGACTGTGTATGGGACTGTGACAGTCTCCGTTCCCGGACCGCGATGGGAGTCCCTGTATGCTGCATCTGCACCTGGGTTCCCTGTGCCACTTGGGTGAGGCCAGTGCCCTCCTGAAACACAAAGTGCCCACCGCTGGATGGGCTCAAGCTGATCTGCCTCACCAGCACACTGGCGTCCACAAAGCCCCCGGTGGGACTGCCGCTGCAAAGGCCCAGGCCCGGGCCAGGAGCACCTGCCCGCACACTCTGCAGGCCCGGCCCTGGCCCCGGGCTGGGCTGGGTAGGGCTCTGAGTCTGCACCTGCTGGGACAGCGGTGAGGTGACCTGGATGTATGATGGAGACCCATGCTCAAAGCGCCTCTGCTGAGCACTGAACTGAAAACCCGGAGAGGCAGGGCTGGGCAGTGGCAGAGGTGCAAGCGTGATCTGAGGGCTCCCACCCACCACTGGTCCAACGCTCTGAAGGGCGAGGTTCACATTCTGCCCGGCTGCTGGGCTCCTGCTCATCAGCTGCTGGACTTGGTACCCAGGGGACTGGGGAGCAGACGGGCTCGCCGATGGCGCAAAGGGAGTGGCAGGGGACTGAGGTGGGTTGGGCTGGGCCTGCTCCTCTCCCTCGCTGCCGGTGAAGGCCCTGGCCCTCTGCAGCTGGTGCTGGACGTTCTGAGGGCCGCTGCCATGGTGCATTATCGCCCCTTGCTACCCGCCTGACGTCCTCCTGGAAAGCCAAAGTTAAAGCAAGTTACTTAAAGGCAAGTAGGATAGTCTGACTGCCACACGTTGCCACCGGCAACACAGAGGGACACACCAAGGAGGCACTCAGAGGTGAAAGAGCCCTCTATCGAGCCATGCATGAGCTGGCTCTGGAGACAACCTCCTTCAGCACAGATGAGGGACAGGTCATCCTGGCTCACTGCTGATCCCAAGGAGCCACTGGGGAAGGTGGCTAGCATCACTTGCTCAGGTCAAGCAGGATCTGACTCGGCCCTGGCACTGGCGACCGGTACATTTCTTCCTGAAAGCCTTTTCTAGTCTAGTGGCCCTGCTCTATGTCTCACAAGCTGGAGGGCTGTCCATCTGCCTTTCCAGTTAAGGATCAGTGGCTTGCTTGCTTCTGCCTGGCATCCAGGCAGTCGGTAACTACTGCCAAGCACAAGTGTACGTGTGGGCACAGGGTCATATGCCACAGTCGCTCCATCACCATAATAGAACATCCAAATTGCTCACTTGTCAGCACACCACCACAGACAGCCCCATGAATCAAGTGCAGATACTCAGATACTCAGAGCCCTGTTAGGGGTCAGACCCTATGCTCCTGGGGGACAGCAACCAGGGCCGGGTGCCAATCACCTCACCATGGGAGGGGTACAGCCTGTCACAGGGGCTACAACGACACAGGGGGGCAACTCTACACCTCAGCAAAAAGAAAACCTCATAGGCAGATAAGGGGATCAGCCAGGACTCAGGCCCGCAGTCTGGGAGGGTCCCCAGGAGGGGTCTGCAACTCTTGCAGCTGGTATCAGGGCTTCACAGGGGTTCATAGCCCCAAATCTGCCTAAAGAATGGACTGGAGGAAATGGAGGATGAGTAGCAGGGACTCGCCAGCAGGGCTACTTCCCACGGCAGCAGAAAGTGGAGGCCAAGCAGGACGAGGCCAGTTCTGAGCTATGTCCAGGGAGACGACCCCTGTCCCCACCCCAACATGAGAATAGGACAACAGTGAAGCCCGACAGCTGCTCCCCACTGCCGTGGCTCAGGCACAGAAACTGCCTTCCACCATTTAAAATTCTCAAGCTATAACCAATACATCCAGCTCATTTCTTGACATTCCCTCCACCCTCCCCCAGGACAGGCAGATGTGCTCTTTCACCTTGTGAACAGCGCTGCTTTCTCGCCAAGAACGTGGATGAGGGGTGGAAAGCGTTCGTAAGCCAGAAGTTACAGAACTTACAGAGTATAAACAGGTAGATAGGAATGCTCCACGGTCCCGGGGTCTGGGTTGAAAGGTGTGCATAAATGGATCCAAAGGCTACAGAATTTATGGTACACAAGTAAAGGTTGAGGAAACGTAAAAAGCAGCATCAGAGCAGCCAGTGGAATGGCACTTTCTGCTCAGATGGCTATCCCTGAACACAGAGTCTAGGGATCACAGGTAAGCTGCAGCAAACCTACTGAAGTGAGAAGGACCCAGTGAGGAACAGCCTTAACCAGCGACCCAGGGCCCACCCTAGGGGCTCAGCAGAGGTGCTGGGAGTGTGGGCCAGGGCTCTCAGGCACACTTACTGCATTCAAATCAAGATTTTGCTCCTGATCTTCTTAAGCATTATGGGGGAGATTAGTGGGTAATGGCACAAAAATAAACATATTTAGGATTACTTCCTCAGAATACATGCCCAGAATATCAAAGGTGATCAGCAGGAGAGAACAAGGCCAGAAAGAACTGTCTCACATATAATTCATAAGACCAGGGAGAGGTATTGGGGAAAAAGATGTTATGGCAATGGATTAACACACTGAGAAAAATCCCATCTAAATTCTCACCACAGATCATTCACCAAAATAAATGAAGCATTTTTGTAAGCTAACATCACAAGTTTTTTACATAATATTTTTTTAAAAAAACAGGAAAACGTCAAGAGCAGCAAAGTGAATACTTACTGAAGGTCTGAAGGGGATTCGCTTTCCCGAAGGTCAAACAGTAACACTGTGTCTGAAAGGTAGATGGGTTTGAAGACACACACTTTAAAACATTTAAAACTCAAAACTAAGTCATCAAAATCAAAACACAGGTATCTTGGGAGGAGCATCTGAAGTAGCAATTACAAGAGGACTGACTATTCCAGCACTACAGAAAGACTCACACAAATGTTTAAAACACTGAGAAGCCAGTAGAAAAAGAATTAAGGGCAAGAGACCATTCGCAAAAGGAGAGATTGTGCACTTGGTCAGCAGAGGTGGCGCCCAGCCTCAGGGCTAAGGCAGCAGCGCAGATGAGGGGACCACTGCCAGAGCCACGCAGCCCCGACACGCCACCACCAGGCTGGCATCCTGCCGTGGCTGGTGGGGCATGGGGACAGGGGCTCAAAGCACAGAACACACCAACAGGTGGCCCAGCAGAAGGGCCTATCTGACCCCACAACCCTCAACCCAGGAATCCTACCTCTGGAAATCTCTAAGGAATTCACCTACCTGTTCTTTTAAAAACTGTGCATAAAAATATTCACTATAGAATAAAATGGTAAAAATAAAAAGGAGTGTAACCAAAAATATCCAAAATTCAAGTTCCAGACAGAGACTACGCAATAAAAATGGAAAATGTTCCAGATATATTAAGTAAAAAAAGCAGGACACCAATTTTACATTATAAACATCAATCACTTGCTAAAAATGTAAATTAAAAAGCTATCCACTGAAACATATTAGAATACGAACACTGACCTTCCCCAGGGAGAAGGGACTAAACGGAGCAGCCTCAGTGAGGTGAGGGCCGAGCCATGGACACGCCCACCGCACCAGAAGCGGCAGGATGCCAGGGAGCAGAGCCCTACTGCAGGACGGAGTGCAGCGGGTCAGTCACACCACAGGACATCTGGAACAGGCAGAACCAAGGCACAGAGATTAGGCAGAACCTGCCGGCTGTGGTGGGGAGGTTGCATCAAGAGAGGCAGGAGGGAGTTGGGGTGTGGGGTCATTTCTCCATTTGACTTATAAGGATGGCTACAAGAGTCAATGTCTACAAATAGTGTGCAGTGCCTTCAAGTGGGATCCCAGAGACAATATGGCAGTCAGCACCACGTCTCCTAGCACATCAGCATCTGACAGCCCAGTAATCTGACTTCTAGATCAGCCTAAGAAGAAACGAGAGCTGTGTTCCAGGACACGCAGGTGGCCATGGAAGTAATATTTACAGAAAAAAGGTGGCATGTCCAACAATAAATATCAATACATTTGATATAGCTACCTAAAAGAAGTTAATGTTGGATGTGTGATGACACACTGAATTCTTCTTCTATGGCTCTACGCTTTCCAGATTGCCCTTCATTGGCATGTGTCCCAGTCACTAGTGTTGTGCACCAAACTCTCCCATAAAAATATTTTGAATTTTCATACCACAAAGGTATAAAACTAGAAATAAATTGTACAAAGAAAGCAAAAAGGCTCACAAACACATGGAGGCTTAACAACATGCACCTAAATAATCAATGGATCAACGACCAAATTAAAATGGAGATCCAGCAATATATGGAAACAAATAACAACAACACAAAGCCCCAACTTCTGTGGGATGCAGTGAAAGCAGTCGTAAAGGAAAGTATATAGCAATCCAGGCATATTTAAAGAAGGAAGAACAATCCCAAATGAATAGTCTAATGTCACAATTATTGAAA